ACTGAAATGAACACAGGTATGGGGAGACTGAAATGAACACAGGAATGGGGAGACTGAAATGAACACAGGTATGGGGAGACTGAAATGAACACAGGTATGGGGAGACTGAAATGAACACAGGTATGGGGAGACTGAAATGAACACAGGTATGCCCTGAGTAACTGCAGCTGGATCGTATCTGGCCTCAGGGATCTGCTGGATCAGTACAAAGGCATCAGAAGGCGAGCTTGTTTCTTCCAAGGTCTGCCAGTGAAGAATACCTTTGAAGCCGGGGGGTGGTGCTCTGACAAGTAGCATTGGATCAGCACATTGATGAACCAGAGCGTCCTGCTAACATCTGAGACATCCTGCCAGTGAAGCACAGGAAAGTGAAGCACAGGAAAATGAAGCACAGGAAAATGGGCTTCAGGATTTTTTTTTTTTTGAGGGGGAGGTGGTCTATCCATGGTAAGATTTTCAGATCACTTGTCAGATTAGTATTCCCTCTCCTGACACCACTAATCTTCAAGGGTGGGGAAGATCCACTTTGGCTCAGGGCTTACAGAGTGACGGACATCTCTCCTGAAGGCACAGATGATGCTGGATCCTCTACCTCGCGACACTAGGAACAACGAGAGCCAAACCTATTCTTGAGTTCTCAAGCGGCCCGGAACAAACTTGTCAAAAAGTCTCCTCTAATCCTCTGACAACCCTTCCAGGAAGCAGAACTCATCAAAACAGACGCGCCATAAAAATTCGACAAGAGACCCTATTATTAGACATTTTCTGGGCGCCAACCCACAGACAGAACTTTCTAAAAGGAAAGAAAAAAAATGCAATACACTTACAGGTACATTTAGACCCAAGCCTGTTTTGATGAACATATAAGGAAAGTACATCTATATATTTTAAGCTATGTTTTGCACTGACAGACAAATGCGCAGTGTAGCACAGCTAGATAATTCGACTTGACACCAGAAGACTGTAAGTTTGGATTAATGGAAGTCAAACCCGTGAGCTAAACAAACACCAGTAAACCTGTAAACTATGTAAGCTAATCCATTTGTGGGGTCATGAGAGGCCGCTTCTTCCTTCTGGTGCCAAAAACGAAAAGGGTTAGTGGTCTGTGACTTGTGCTTCTGTTTTTTTTTTACATTTTTTAATAATTAAGCACGTTCTTTAAAAGTAGACTTCTGCCATAGAGTCCAAGGTATGTCCACAGGCAACAGGGCATCTTTTCCTTGCATCTTTTCCACCACTTAGCCAGAAAAATGTGCATTAATCTCTGTGCTTTCCAGAATTTCACTTTAATAATAATAATAGCAACAAATTAACAAGTGATCTTGCTTACCCGAATCTGCAAAGCACCACAGAATTATATAAAAAAACGCTACATCGTTCTGGTGGAGGTGATGGTGATGCCCTAGTCATTTTCCACTTGTAAAACCTTAATACTTCATTAGAAATACTGACATTGGGGGCCGGGGGGGCACACAGACAAAGCTGCCCCCGGTGGTGGGCCGGGCAAACTGATCCTGCCTTCCTGCAAAGCGGTGAGCTTGGGAACAAGGATCATGGGGCTTTAATGGGGCGATGGAGGATCTGGATGCTCACACCCAAACACAGATTCATTCAGGTTCTCTCCACATAAGTACATTTTTCCCTGTTTTTTTTTTTTTTTTTGTAAACAACCGAGGGAAGAATAAGCCCGAAAAAAAAACTGGAAGAAAAATGTATGATGTCGTTTCAGATGCTACCGTCCTTTCAAAGTCCACCATTAATGTTTCAAAAGAAAAAAAAAAGAAAGAACAGAAGCGCATGATACCGGCCTTATAGTCCTTCCAGAACATCTGCGACATCCTGACACGGACACACCTGCGAGGTTCAGAGACGGCGTCTGGACAGAGGCGACATCACAAGATTGCTTGCGACTGATATGTACATGATGGCAACATCCATGGCATGGGGGGGGGGGGGGGGGGCATCTCCATTTGGCAGACCATAATAATAAAAATAATAGTAAAAAAAAAAAAAAACAGAACCTTATTTGTCCCATTTAAAGGGATGCAAAGAAAATCTTCATCACAAATTCCACACTGTCAAAGAGATTAGTCACTGTGAGAGAAAGGTCCTCTTTAACCAGGAACTTCTTTTTGTAGATTCCTTTGTCTACACGTTCTAAATCGCCATATCAATGAGGTTCCTCATACCGATCCAAGAGGCAAGGCTCACCCAAAGACGTCTATTCCATAGCAGGAGGATCTGTGTCACGGATTCCAATTTACTGTGTCGTCTATAAGAGCCGCTGTTCCATTTCTTTCAGCGTCTTTTGTCATCGATTCTCTTCATCAGAGGACGCGACGCTCCTCTTAATTTACATATTTTCAACAAAGGAAAACTTAAAAAAAAAAATCTCAGGTTGTTTGGGAGATGTGCCCACCCCCCCCCCCCCCCCC